GGAAGGAAGGAAGGAAGGAAGGAAGGAAGGAAGGAAGGAAGGAAGGAAGGAAGGAAGGAAGGAAGGACGGACTCAGGAAAAAGCACTTAAATTGTTCACATCATCTGCTGTAATTGAAGAGTCCAAGTTTTCTATTTATAAAGAAGATTTTAATCATATTGCTGTACTGAGGTTACTAGACAGACATTCAGTGAAGATTTCCAAAGGAATGTAAATCCAAGAAGAGATGGCTTAAGATTTTGCACATTCCTCAGTCAAGCAAGATACATAGAAATCCTGATGTCAAACAAGATATGCAGAAATTCTGATGCAATCTTTTTCATTACAAGAATTCATTGCAAGGTGAAAACCATTGTTAGTCATCTTGTGACACATCCTTTGTCTCCATAAAATCCATGAAAAACAAGTGATTTCTCAAAAAGCAAGAACAGATGGAAACCAGTGGACTCGCCAAAACTTTAATTCCTTTCAATGCTTAATGTCATCGTGGTGAAAAAAAATCTTTGGAATAAGCAAACCAATTTCCAAAATGTTATAGAAATCCTAATTTAAATTTGTATGTGCAAATACAGGATTTGGTTTATATTTGAGACCTCACTGCAACCTCTTACTGCATTTACATATTTCTGGAGGCAGAAGAGAGGGGAAATAAAGGTGGTCAAGAAGGGAAGGGATTAGAATGCCCCCTTTCCAAAAACTGATACTCTACTAATGGGAACAACCAGGCTATCACAACAGTCAGTACAGCTGATAATGCCAGCAACTAGGTGGGGTGCAAATAATGCCAGAAAAATGACATCCAGAAAAAAAAAAAAGTTGTCTCTTTTCTAGCAATGGTGTTCCAAATCTGAGTCAGCACACAACAAGCAGCCATAGCAAGTCTAGCATGGTCACTGTCACAATTAAAATCTTATTAAAATCTTCAGTCTAAAACCTTACAACCAGACATGTTGGCCCTCAGTAAACTCCTTCAAATTTCAAAGAAGCAAGGAAGGAGGAGGGAATGTCTCTTGATTCCCTTTTCAGTGCCAGTAAGTAAAACCAGATATTTTACTAAGAGCTGGTAAAGACCATTCATTAGTTGCAAACACAACCTCCCCAGCCTATGGCATCAAAATTAGAAAGATAATTGTGACCTCTTTCAGTGTCCTAAGGTTGCACACTGGGAGAAAGTGATCTTTGCTATGACTCTCACTGTAGTCACCTGTTTGCATTATTGTTGGCCTTTTTTTTAACTTAAAAAAACAAAAAAAATCCACCAAAAAAAAAATCAAGTGGCTCAATAGAAATAAATGAAAATATCATTAGAAGTGTGACTTTCTCTGTAGATTTAGCCTCCTCTTTTCATGACCAGAGAGCAGTTAACACAGACAGCAGGTCCAAAAAAATCCCACAGCTCTCCTTAATGGCTCATCCTTGATCAGGTCACTCCTTTTTCTGTTCACGGTTCAAAAGGGTTTTTTTCCCCCCACTATAATGGGAGTTTTTTGGACAAAGCTGAAACTAGCAAGCTGTTTGAAATAACACATATGCACAGTTATTTGAATTCCAAATACTTGAACTATTTTATTATGTTTGTGGCCTGTTTTAGTAAGAATTTATGAATATTAGAATAAATTGAGTTTTTCTTTATTTTTAAAATTAATGTTTAGCTGCTCTTTGTCTAAGAAACACCTCTTGCACCATTAATCATTTGACTATCTCAGGCTGAGGCAAATAAATCTATTTTAGTCTGTTCTATAACAAATTAAATTTGGAAGTTTGAGTCAAATCCCTGTCAATAGCCAGGATATATAATCCATCTGAACAAATATTACTGTCTGAAAATAAATGCAGTACAAAATACATGTACTGGAAGGCTAACCAAATCCTTGTCCTAAAATCCTAATTCTTTCACAGCTTCAGTTAGCGCAGACTGGTGATACTGGACTTCAGTATTTCTGGTCCACTGCCTCATTTCTTGAATTTCATTGCAAATATCTCAGAGTTTTTACTAAAGTAGAGCTGCTGCTGACACAGAAAAAAATATCCTTTTTACACACTGTTTTATAAACATCACTTTGAAATTAACTTAGGACTGTACCAAAACATGGTCATTGCATTTATATTGGGAATAGTGAGAAACAGTCTCTAAGCACCAGAAATTAAAAAAAAAATGACCAAGTAAGCAGCTATGGGAAAATGGACATAGCAATGTAGGTTCACTTCCAGGTAACTGGTGTGAAAAAAATCCATAACAAAAACATATGCTTATGTAGCTTCTAGGACAAACCCAACCTTTGTAAACCAGAGCAATGGCCATTAATCAAAAATACAGATCCCCAAATCCTCACATTGCTGAAGCAATGAAGATCCTGCACTGGGCTTTGCACAGTCAGTGGACAGTGTCCCTTCAGTAACTAGTGATTAGTGTTTCCTCTGCCCTGTTTCATTGTCCAAGTATTCCTTCCTTGCTTACTTCTACTTTTAACATTCTGTAATTTATGTTCATACTCCATATCCTAGAACTGTATTGCCTGAAAAGGGAAAAAGGGGGAGGGCAAACTCTAAAGCAATGACTGGGATTACAATGATGCCTTTAGTTTTAAGTTTTCCTGTTCTCCTTGGATGTGCTTTTCTGATGTGCTCGGGTGATGAAGACAAAACAGTCCTATTCCAGTTAAGAACTCAAGGACAGTTTCTCCAAACTTCAGGCCCTAAGCACAAACTACGTGGAAAGGTGGAGGGCGGGTTCATGCAAGTAAACCAGAACCTATAAATGTGTGAGATTTTGTGACCAACCCCTCCTTTCCTTCCATCTTGGAGCCATCCAGGCAGGGGCCACGACTGTGGCACTTGTATTGCTGGGGTGTGGTTTTTGTAGGCCTCACAATAAATACCCATTTTATTCTCCTTAACTCTCTGTGTAGCCTCTGTTCCAGCTCCTCAAGGCATCAACAAAAGTTGGAAGAAACAGACAAAATATATCTCACTATATTTAACAGATTACTTTTCTTAAAGAAGAAGCCCAAGCATCCAGCACAGGCTTTGGGGTCAGGGTTTTCCTCAGCAATATTAAACATGGGCATGCTGCTTGGAGCCTGTCGAGACTGAGTGGCAGCTGTAAGGGTCTGACCCAAACCACACTGGGGCCAACACACAGCTTTGAATGTATTCATTGTGTCCAGTCTTTACTGAAGACATGCTAGATGAGAAAATGCAGAAAACAGATCAGGCCTTCTTGCCACGTGATGAAATGAAAGTTTCTTGCCAGCATTCACTACTTACCAAGACAGTTGTGGCCATCGTGGGCTAACATGAATCCATCATAGCAGGTACACCTGTAGTTGCCTGGAATGTTGATACATTCGTGGACACAGCCCCCATTGTAGAAGTCGTTTTCACACTCATCGATATCTAAAACACAAAAGGAGGAAAAAGAAGCTTTTGTAAAAAGAGAATTCTAACAATACAGAATATTTTCTCCAATGAGCATATTTTCTGATATGTGCACATCCCTAATCTTTCTTTTAGGCTCATATTGCCTACTTCATCCAACACATGGTCAGGGACTGAATATATCAGGGTCATATTTGTCTGAAAAGCACAAGCCAATGTATAGAACACTCCTTCCCAAAATATTTGGAGTATCATCACAGTAAACAATGGTATGTTGTCAAAAATAAAAAAGGAACACTTTATTTTGGCACACTTCATATTTAAAATGTGGTTTTTATTTTTTGTCTTCAAAATAATCAAGCAGAGAATGAGTGAAACCTTTGACTTAAAACAACTATGTGAAGCATACTATTAATATGGCATGAGACAAAAGTATGCCTTTTGTAACAAATAAACTATAATCCTCTGTAAAAATTCACACCACAAGACCCACAAGTAGGCCAGTATTTTATCCTCAGAAGATATGATAGAGTTGTTTGGGATTTTTTCACACTGACCTGTATCTGAAAGAGGATCATAAAAGATGAGAGATGGATTCTGTTTCAATTAAAAATAATCTTGTTATGATCTTCCCTCCCTCATACAAAAAGAAAAAAACCACTAAAAACCCACTTCTTCACTCATTCTAGAAAATGCAAGCTTTCTTCTTTTTACAAACTCTATTTTGGCTCCTACATGGAACATCAGTATCACAGTCACTCTTGTGAATAATTCAGTGGTGTACATCAACCAACTAAAAATACATAAATGATTAAAGATAGACTCATGGCTTGATAAGTACCAGGTCTAAATTTGTGGTGTACTACACCAAAACCCACAGCTACTCTCACTAAGTTAGGCAGCAGATGATAAAGTTATCCTTTTAGAAAACCACCTGTTTTCATTACAGAACTATCCCACCAGTACATTTCAAATGTGCCTCCCATTGCAGAGGTGATTGACGTATTTCTGAAACAGGTTCCTGTTTCTCTTTTTGTTTTTTTCCCCCCTTTAAAAAGTACTCCATGAAAAACTTTTGCTACCTGGTATCATATCCAGATGCAATCCCAAGAGGGCAAGGTGGATTGGGGAAAACCAGACTCCTCTGAAGAGCCACCTCAGACTCAGGCACTCAGTGCTTCCAGCACTCCTGGCCCTTGGATTGGGTTTGGCTGGGTTTGTCCCTCCTCACATTGGGACAGGCTTCTCCCAGGTTCTGTTCCATGTCTTCCCCCTCACGTTGGCCTCTCCCAAAAATCTACCTTAAACTCAGAATTCTCCAAGTCTCTGTTCACCTGCCTCCAACAGCTCTGAAGTCCCCCTTCCACAATCTCCTCAGCACCTTGAAAAGGGAATTACAGACCCGGCTTCATCTGCAAAACCAACTGGCTATTTGTAACTCAGCATTTGGCACCACAGAAATAGGAAGCTGGAGAAAGGATCCAAACAAAAATAAAACCTGCTGCTTAAAGGTAAATTTTCTACTCTTTAAACATTGTTCTTTTCCAGAAGGTTCTCATTACTTGCTAACAATTTCCATCCACGAGTTGTGCAAGTGCCCACTAGGCACAGCCATGGCTGTGCTCTACCTTCCAAGTCCAGTATGACAACAAAAAGAGTTTTCAAAAAAAAAAAAAAAAAAAAAGAAATCTGTGATTTTTCTTGAAAACAAGAACCAGAAAGTCAAGTGCTCATTCCAAACAACCTGCAATACAGTCTCTGAGAAGCTGCTCTCATTAGGCCACAGCTCCATGTGCCTGGGTGGATATTCCCAAAATTTTACAGTCTGCTTTCCACTCAGCAGAAATTTGCAGCTTTCATAACTATTAATGAATATTTCCAGAAACTTCTTGTCATTCCCTACAGGCTACAGGGAACAGCAGCTCTACAAAAAATAGAGCTCTACAGTAATGCCATGTTTTAACAGGTCAAGTCAATACTCACAAAGCATCTAACATGATTTTGATGTCAGACGTGTCAGGGGTTCCCCTCAGGACACTCAGAAAAAATGGCATCTTCATTTCAAGGTTTGCTCTTAACTTTTATCCAGCAACAAGTCTTTTCAGAAGAGGGAATTCAGAAGGAGCTGTTATCACCTGTTATGTTCCTCAGTATCAGAATGCCAAGAGTTGAGCAATTAATTCTCTTTTTATTTCAGACAATGACTCAAACAGGACTTTTTGTTTAAATAAGCAGTGGGAGAGCCTTGAAAAGGGACCAAAAAAAATCAAAGAAATGTGAAGCCTTTTGAATGACTGCCCCTTATATAATACTTATTTCTAAAAAGCTGTGATTAGCAGCACAAAGTGATGATGCAATACAAATACTCAAGTTATGGAAAGGATAAAGTAACAGATACAGAAACCACAAAAATAGCAAAAGAAACAGATTCTTTGCATCTTGTTCTCTTAGGAGTTCAAGTCACAACTAATATTGCAAAAGGATTAGAAAATTATTTCTCCCTTTTGCATCTCAATAGCTGTAAAAAACTAGAAGTGGAACCAAGCATTCTACCTCCTTTTCAGAGCCATGTTGGAGGCTTTTTGGTATTTTTTCCCTCCAAAACCCACATAACTATTTAAAACTTCACCTGGCAGGCTGGTTGGAATTTTTATCTCCAGTATGGCTAGCAAAAACCAAGGAGCTAAGACTGGTGAATTTACATTTCCAAAAAAATCAAAGCAA